TGTTTCTAGCTCTGATCAATCAAAAGGCCAAAAAGCCATGATAATTCAGTAGCAAAGAGCACCTCTAACTGCAAGACTGTGATCTCTAAATATCATTTCCCACTAATAGAAAGTGGGGCTTTGTGAATAAATGGCTACTTCCTGGAGCAGAAGGTACAAATTGAACCAGGGTCATCTTGTTCAAATTATTATGACCAGGAGTCTCTCAAAGACCATATCGCCAGACAAGTCAAATTTAAAGAGGAGTCCTTTTATTGAAGAGCCGGCTGGCGACTGCCTCAGTGTTCCAACATGGGGTTTCTGAGAGCAGCCCTGAGTGCTTAAGGGGTCAGATTTTTAAGGTTTGGTCTGCATCCTGCTTGGCATGCAGGCTGCTCAGATGCATCCAGGTAGGTTAGCAAACATTGTACAGAAACAGAATTTTACGGTTAGTCATACACCTTTGTTTCAGTAACTTCCCCACCATTTCTTAAAGGTCAGTCCGGGGACAGTTGGTACCTCCCAGTCCATTTCTCAGGGAGTTAGTCAAGCAAGAAGTCAGTGAGTACTTTCCCATCTATCTTGGGAGTGAACCAGACTTACTCCATTTTGAGGAGTAAAATGGAGTTGAGGGCTTGTGGCCCAGAAATTTTTCAGGAGTTAACTGGTATTTTTCCACCTTAGTCTAGGCCTAATACTAGAACAAACTATATTTCAGGATAACCAAATGACCCTATTGGATAAGGGAAAGTTTTATTATAAGAATAATTCCAGCAATCAATCAAAAGAAATGATAGAATAATATCCTTCCTGAAATGATTGATTGAGGCAACATCATCAGTGGATGCTAAAACCAATTATGGGAATTGTACACTGGAGGAGCCAGGCTGACACACCTCAATCCACCAGTCCATCTTGGCATCACCATGGCAAGAAGACTTGACATACCTCTAGATGTAATGTACTGTGATGGACACAGCATTACCCATGAAGTGTGTGTGCCAAAAATATTCTATTGATCCTGCATCTAATCACTCTGACTTTTAGTCTAGAGTAATAATAGGAGTAAGAAGAACAAGATAACTGCTATTGTGAGGATACAATGAGCCAAATCCAGAGAGTCCGGACATAATGTAGGACAATCTTCCCGGCAAACAATAACTCAATGGCAAGTGGGGAAAAAAAGGAGGCATTAGTTTCAGATTAAAAGAGACTTACAAGAGGCTGGCCGTGGCAGCTCATGCCTGTAATCCTAGCAATCTGGTAGGCCAAGGAGGGAGGATCCCTTGAGCTCAGGAGTTCAAGACCAGCCTGAGCAAGAGTGAGAACTTGTCTCTAATAAAAATAGAAAAATTAGCCAGGTATTGTGGCAGGTACCTGTAGGCCCAGCTACTCAGGAAGCTGAGGCAGGAGGAGTCCTTGAACCCAGGAGTCTGAGGTTGCTGTGAGCTAGGCTGAAGCCATGGCGCTGTAGTCAAGGAAACAGTGAGACTCTATCTCAAAAGAAAAAAAAAAA